AGGTAACTGCACCCATGCCATGCAATGCCCGCAGAGGACAGAAGAGGCCATTGGATGCCCTGGAACTGGAGTTACAGACAGTTAGCTGCCATGTGGGTGCTGGGATTTGAACCCGGGTCTTCTGCAAGAACAACCAGTGTTCTTAACTGCTGAGCCACCTCTCCAGCCCCCTGAACCCTTCATTTTATTCTGAGGCATTAATCAATTCTCTTTCCTGTGCTTTCATGAGGTACATCACTTAACCCATCTGAACTATCCACCCGGCTTCCTATGTGAAAATACATCTTAATTTCAAAACGTACAGCTATAAATTTTCCTTTATCAATCTGGATTTATCAATCACTTTATCCCTTGCATTCATTTGTTATGACATTTTATATGCTACGACATTTTATATTTGATGGGTACAATGTTTTTTAGCATTGCACTGTCCATCTTACTTGAGAAAACACATCATTTTAGAATTTCTCTCTGTACTTAATACATAGTAGAATTCTCTCTTAGCACATGTCAGTACATACTTATTCAGTGATTACATGCAGGATTCAAGCAGTTGTCAAGATCTTTAATTTTGGAAATTGATATCACTCATTTTAAATTCTAGATCTTACATGAGTTTTCATGATCTTGGACAAAGTTCCTGATTTCTTAAGGCTTACTTTCTTCCACAGCATATGTGAACTACTTTGATGTACACTGCTTTTGAATGAACGGCTCAGCCAAAGCCTGCTCAGGAGCTGCATTGGGTTGGTGCAGGTAGGAAGACACAGTCAGGGGGAAAAAAAAACTTATTTCACTGGGCATGGATACTTATTTTTAAATACTTATTTTTAAAATTTATTTCACTTTCTCATGGTTGGTAACTGGGTGGCAGAACCAAGAAACATGTTTCCCATTTGCAGATGTTGCAGGAGAATTGCCTCTTATGTCTACAGAAAGTCCAACTTCTTGTTGGATTTATGTCATTCAGTAGGGTTGTGAACAAAATCTTGGAGCTGAATATCTGTGTGGTAACATCCTAGCCCTTCCATCAGTGAAAAGGGAAAGCCAGTGGTTCAGCTCCTTCTGTACCAGGCCTTAGAGCAAGTCTCATCTTGGCTCATTAGGTAGAAAATTCTGCTTGTCTCCTTCTATGCCTCCATAAAAGGGTGATATTCATGTGCCTACTACATTGGGTTGTTCAAGCTAAATGAGAAAATATCTACAAAGGATAGTCTCTGGCACAAAATAGCTGTTCAGTGCATGATGTCTACACAGTAACATATTTAATCAATTAATGTTCCTACAAGAAGATGTTAGGAAGAGTTGGAATGTGTAATGTGAGTGTAATGATTATATAATTGAAGGATGAAAATCAATATAATCAAGTACATTCTCCAAAGCTACTTATGTCCAACCCAATCTTAACTTAGTTTCTGGCTCTCTATGAGAAACTCTTTCCACTAAACTTAATACTTTGTATCTTTTAATAATAATTTTAAACTATATAACCACTAGTTGACATTGGCTCCTATCCTGCCACCTTACTCTATGTATTCAAAATTAAAATCAACTGATATTTCAACCATGGGTCAGTGAGAAAAGGAAACAGATTTACAGGTAGATAGTGTGTTCATCCTTAAAATAGTAGATGTAATCACAACTAAAGGAATGTTCCAAAAAAGTTATAAATGGAGGACAGTGAGGAGAGATTTGAGTTATCCCGAGTGACATGGCAGGAAAGAGAATGCAAAGGCATGTGAATCTTGGCAGTCACTGTTACACGGACATCATAAGCAATGATGAGGTCTCAGCAAAGCAGCATGAAGTTTACAGTCAAAGCAAAACATGTGTCAGGTATTGAAAGCTAGCAGGTTGCTTCATTTTCAAGACTCAGTTTACTCTAGGTTACTTAGGATTAAAATAGAATGCCTAAAAGAAAAATCCATGTTATAGTGCATACACAATAAGTGGCAGCTGTCACTCTACTGTGATAAGCATTTTGTAAGATGAGTGCTCTGTACAGAAGACAATAGTTAACACAAAGCATTCTGAAAATCGTTGCCTTGAGGTGCTAGAGAGATTTCTCAGCGGTTAAGTGCACTGGCTGTTCTTGCAGAAGACCCAGGTTTGAATCCCAGCACCCATATGGCAGCTAACAACCACCTGGAACCATCCAGTTCCAGGAGATCTGACGCCCTCTTCTGTCCTCCATGGGCACTAACGACTCGAGTGCACTTAACATACATGCAGGCAATGAACTCATATACTTTAAAAAGTAAATAAACTAAGTAAATAAAAAAAAAATGTTGCCTTGATTGTCCATCATGTAAGCATGAGGTTGCCTAAGCCCTGTGGTGTAAGGACACAGACTGGGGATGTAGATCAGTGGTAGAGTGCTTGCCCAGCATGTAACAGGTCTTAGGTTCAATTCCCAGAACTGCAATAGTAATAATAATAGCAACATAATAATAGCAACAGCAATAAATACAAGTGAATCTATCTGTCCAAGTTCTGGGTTCGAGGGTGGGATACTTTCTGAAAAATTATTTTGTTTCCCTCAAGGTGTTAAAAATCATGATGTGAGAAGCCAACCTAAGCAGGGCAGCTAAGCTGGACCGCGGAAGCCAAGAAAGCTTGCAGCCCAGCTGGACAGACAGTGAGAAACTGCTCGATGACTCAGCCATGTGATGTAGCAGCTGGAGGGAGCAGGAGCTGGAGCCCTGGGCTCCCACAGACTTGGCTGCAAACCCAGCTCTGCCACTTCTTGTCTGTATAAGCTTGAGCAAGCCAACCACTCACTCTAAACCTTAGCTCCCATTTGTGAAGTGGGGAAATGGAGGTGTTATCTAGTCAGATTTACCTGGGTTCTTTTGAGAAATCATGAACTGCTTTGCAGTGTGTCTATGGGAAGCACTCAAGGGGGATAGTTGGCTATAGATCCCCAGAACCCAGACCACATAAAAATCCAGACTCAATGGTGCACACCTGTAATCCCAGCACTAGAGAGGCAGAGGCAGGAGGATTCTGGTGGGCTTGCTGGCCAGCCAGGCTAATGTAATCAGCAGGATTCAGGTTCAGTGAGATACAGTCTCAAAACATTAAACCATAGAGGAAGAATCTGAAGTCACTCTCTGGCCTTCCACACATGCACCCCCACACACATGAGCATGCACACAGAGGCACACACACACACACACACACACACACACACACACACACACGCCACACAAAGGAACACTCAAGTATATATAAAAAGTACTCAGGATAGATTTTCTACTTCTAGAATTATGAAAATTAATTTTATAATTATTGGTATTGATGTTGTTGCTAATTCTATTGCTATTACATTGATATACAATTATTATTGTTCAGAAGTTCCTGGAAGGAACAGGAGGTTTGTTGATTGATGGTGAGGATGGGTAGCAAGAACATCTCTAAATGTGAAAGGAGACCTGTGGAATCTATACAACACGATAACTCAACCTGACACAGTTTTAAAAAACTTCATCAAGTCATTTGACCTCTCCACAACATGTTTTTTCTTTTCTCACAAAGGACACAGAACCTACACAGGACAGTGTCATAAAATGATAGAATGCATGTGAAATTAAAGCCTTAGGGGACAGGAGAGATGGTGCAGGGGTTAAAAGTACTGGCTACCTTGCAAGAAGACCTGGTTTCAGTACCCAGCACCCACATGGGGAAGCTTACAACTGTCTGTAACTCCAGTTCCAGAAGATCTGGGGCCCTCTTCTGGCCACTGAGGGCACTGCATGCATGGAGTTCATATACTCAGGTACACACACACACACACACACACACACACACATACAATAAAATAAACTTAAAAAAACAGTGTTAAAGTCAAGAAATTCTGATTAGAAGCAAAATGATGTAGTAAAATTGAACAGTTCTATGTTTTTATTCTGGAGTTTCCTACATACTAGCTGTGAGACACAGAATAAATGACTGAATCTCTCCAAACCTCAGACTGTTCTTTTGATCACTGTAGATCATATTAACTAACTCATTGTTCTATAATAAAAAAGCATCTAACAGGATGGTGTGGCTTGAGGTGGACTATCAATAACTCTTAGGTCCCTTCCTCACACAAACATATAATAAAATGCCTCATTAAGAGGGGACTAAGTGAAATCTGTGGTTTCTGTCTTTTTATGTGAAAATATTTCAAGTACATTTTATATTCTGGCAGAGGTCTTTACTTTTTCTATTAATTTATGCTGAGGGCATAACATATTTAAAAATGAATTACTTGGCATATTATTTTTAGGCTAGATAGAAAAACGTTTTGGAGTTTCAAAACAGTTGACTGGTTATACTAAATGGAACATTGTCTCTCTTCTTAAAAAAAAGTCAGGATACCATGAAGCATCAAGTTTAACTCATTGGAGGCAAGATGCAAGATTTGAAGACTTTGATCTAGTTAATAATACTAGATTTGGAAGAAATGGATACACATACCACACACAACTGGGTTCATATAGAAATCATAGGCTCCTTTGTACAATATCTATAAGAAGTACTCAATGGGCTAGAGAGGTAGCTCAGTTCAGATCCCCAGCACCCACATAAAAAGCCTGGCCTAACAGTGCACTCCTGTAATCCTATCCTTGGAGAATCAGGGGCAGGAAGGTCCCCGAGGCTTACTGAACAGACAAGTCTGGCTGATCCATGAGCTTCATGTTAGCAAGAGATTCTGTCTCCTCAAATCATAATGTGGAGAGCAATTATTTACAGAAAGAGAGGAGAGAGAGAGAGAGAGAGAGAGAGAGAGAGAGAGAGAG